TTCTGCATTAAAACTTGCCCCTTTTTCCAAGAGCTTCTTGATTTGATCAATTTCACCTAGAAATAAAAGTAAACTCAATGAATTTAACAAATTAATGAAATGAAACCGCTACGTGAAATTGTTGAAACGAGTAAACGATGAGCGCAAACTGGATACGTACGAAAGCATGTACATACACAACGATGACGATGCGATTAACTTAGATTTAGGAAATATTCAATCTGATTTATTAACTCTAATATAAATGTGTGTTTATCTTTTACTTTTCCGCACACACCTAGTGTGTAAGGTAATTACTTTAAAGTATTGGAATCGGTCGAAAATTTAACACCCATCAAAAATGTGTTTTCTTGGTGTTTTTGGGGCCAAGGAACACGAATCTAGCGTTTTTTCGATGTCCGAATGTATGTGTGTACCCTGTACCCTGTACGCAAAAATATACGATAACTTTCAAACAAGAAAAGTTATTCAAAATCTGACTTCACAGGATGATTGGGGGTGCCGAGGAATAGAAATCATCAGATTTTGAGCGACTTTGGTCGATAGAGTGCCGCGTCATGGTCTGGTGTGATGCCCATGGCCATCCATGAGAAAAATTCTCTCAAAGGTGATATTTAATCGACCCTCTCTTACAGTAGACTTTCAAGCGAATCGCCATTTGCGAGCACCATCTCTGTGTGCTCGTATAAAACAAAAAAAGTTTATGTTGTGAGAAACTATACTCAGCTTAGATTAGAAAATATTATTTTTGTATATCTGTCAAAGTAAACAACGCAAACAACATTGAAGAGAATATTTTTCAGATTAATTATCAGTATTATGCAAATAAAAATTTTAAAATGTTGCCAGTTCTTTCCTCTTCAAAAAATCTAAACGCAAATCTGCGATTCCATCCAAGAAAAATATTTTGTGTGTTGTTGTTCCACTTCCAATTATTAATTTATTTGTCGCTGCTGATATTGCATAACTTATTTACACTGCGGGCCCAGTCGGACTAAATTGTATACTTTTTGGATTTGTTCTATAAAAAAAAATCCTGAGTTGATTTAAAGTCAAAAGATTATAACAATACTCAAAATTAAATAAACATAATAATTTTTTGAATTGATTTTGTTAGTTGTCCTCGATTTTACGGAGCAAAACATATTAATGCAAAACGAAATTGTCAACTGTAGCTGTCACAGAAAAAAAATACATGTAAACAAGCGAACAACCGTATAAGCCATAACAACAGAGAAAAATATGCTGCGCAAACATTCTAATACATGTGCTCACTACTTAGCTTCATTGCTGTGATATTTTATGCAGATATAAGTAAGGCATTTGATTCGGTCAACCCAACTAAACTCTTATTGAAGTTATCAAACTTTCGTATATCGAATTCAGTTTTGTTATGGATGATCTCCTATCTAAATTCAAGGCGACAATTTGTAAGAGTGGGGAAAGCTGAATCAGAATCATTTTCTGTGTTATCTGGTGTGGGTCAAGGCACAATTCTCGGGCCACTGCTCTTCATCGCTTTTTTTAATGACTCCGATGTCGATATACCGGGAGTTTTTTCATCAAACTTCGCTGATGATAAGAAACTATCTGTGATTGTAAAGAGTTACGAGGATGTTCAAAGGCTTCAAGGAGCCATAAATAGTTTTCTGGATTGGTGCAAACGTAATGAGCTGAAAGTCAATCGATCGAAGTGCCGAATTATTTCGTTTCATACCAAAAATCAACCAATAATAAATAATTACCTAGATAATTACACAATAAATGGCGAAGTTATTGAACGAGTAAATGAAATTCGTGATTTGGGCGTTATCCTTGACAAGAAAATGAGCTTCAATTCTCACATTGAATATACCTGCAATAAAGCGAATGCTGCTCTACAATTCGTCAAAAGGCAGAGCTACTTTTTTGATAAAGATATTATTAAGATCCTATTCTTTGCATTGGCCCGTTCTAATCTTGAATTTGCTTCTACAGTCTGGTCACCATCGCTCATAACGCACAAAAAGTTTGTTGAGCGTACTCAAAAGCAATTTGTCATGCTTATTAATGGTGGTTATTATAATCGAGCGGAAAACAACTATATCCTAAGACCATATGTAGAGCGGTGCTGCGATCTAGAACTTCAAACTCTGGCTAGGAGAAGAGTAAACGCGGCGGCCCTATTCATACATTCAATATTAATTGGCAGGTATGATACACCTCAACTTTTATCGCGAATCAATTTAAACACTGGCACCAGAACATTACGGAACCTGAATTTATTCGTCTTCAAACATGCCGCACGGACCATTCAACGCAATCGCCATTCAATAATGCTTGTCGCATCTTCAATTACGCATCTCTATTTATCGACCCATCGCTACCACATTATGAATTTCGACAAAAGCTAATGAGACTTCCTGATTCTGCCTTTGGATCATGGGCAAAAATATAAAGAAACAATTTTAAAAATTATTTTTAAATTAAAGCTAGTACCTTATAAGAAAAGTGATTACAAAAAACCAAAAAGAGAAGAAAATCTTCACATTTCTAGTCTGACTGATTATCTATTGATTTATCTATGTATACAATAACAAATTTCTACCTATTACTTATTCACCTATTATTCTTCTCTAACTATTTGACTACATGATTATTTAATGAAAATTATATTATTTATACACTGTATATACACGTTGTAAAATACCTAAGTTCAGTCAGCATTTGGCGGAGAAATAAATCTAAATCTAAAATACTTTGAGCGTGCATGTGATGTTTATGCGAGTATCACTTGCGTTGTATATTGACAATGTATTTGAACGCGACTCGATTTAAGAAGCGCCATCTCTTTCACGCCAGGTTCCAATATATTTTTTCTGGCAAATAAAATTGCAAAATTGTATAAATTGAATAAGTTTTGCAATAATAATAACGAAAATAATTAATAGAATTTATAATAAATAAAAAAAATTGAAAAAAACACACAAATATTTTATATTATATCATTATATTATGAAAATTTCATTGTGATAATGTCCAAGAGGCAACGCAATATAAAAATTGTTTGTGTATTTGATTGCAAGCGTCACTGAAAATTTATATCAGATCATTTTCAGATTTGATGTGCAGTATTGCGTCACAGTGAGAACTTCCAAAGAAGTGTTTTTTACTTATTTTTATCACACAAAAATAACATTCTGAGAATTTAAAGAAATTTCAATGCGTATTAGGGATATCTCCACTCAATTGTATTGAAATTTCTTCAAACTTTCAGAATGTTAGCTTTTTGTGAAAAAATTAACCCCTGTAAATTTTTACATGATAACGATATCATACAGGCATTGAATGTATCAGAATCAGAAATCATTTGTATCGCAAAACTAATGTCAGATTCAGATTTCTCATGAATATGGTAAAAGATATGTAATAATAATATGTTCTGGATCACAGTGCGGAAAAGTTCATCTTACGGATGTAAGACATTTTATTTTGTCTCATTTTATTATCATTTGCAATTCGATTTTTTGCACTCTTATGATTATTGATATGACAATTGTATATATTTTTGAGTTCGGTTTTTAGTCGTGTTGCTGATGATGAGAGGCACATTACTCGACATGTATACAAAGATTGACATTAAATACGTCTAATTCACTATCTCAATATAATGGTGTTTTTATTTCATTTGATTGACGAACTTAATGATATGTCAAATTTCATGAACATTTGAGATTATGTCATTCTACGTTTATATTTGCTGATTGTAATGAAAAGCGATCGAACTAAATAAAAATTATTTCAACAAGTGCAATTGTTTGGTGGAACGAGCGCGCGCGCCCAGATCGCCTTCTTGGATTTTTTTTCCGATGATTGGGGACTGCGAGAAGACGAGCTGATTAGTTTTTGAGCAATATCGGTTGACTGATGTAATTTTTGGGCCTTACGGCGTTTTGAACCCACATACACTATTTTTTTTAAGACAGTTGAAAATTACCTTTTCTGGCGGCATTAAAAAGCTGTTCGTCCAGATGGGAAAGTGCGCGCACTTTCAGAGACAAAAATATTAAAACAATCACACATTCTACTTTCATTGTTGGAGTCAAAGATATATGTTTCGATCGATTATTTTATACAAATTTAATAAAATTGCAAAAAAAACACTTTCTGAAGAGAAAATATAAATAGAATTGGATAAAGTTATTTCGTTAGAATAATTCAGATTCAGAAATTGAATTGAAATTACTTAAATTTCTTCAGCAACGAATATTATCCCATTCGCTATGGAATCAATGAAAGTACTGATTTTTCTGACTTTACTCTAAACGTAATTTATTCGAAAATTTGGCTTGAATTTTGATTAGGATGAACCGAATTGTATTGAATGCCTAAACAAATGAGAATATGTTATCACAAAAAAAGAACGAATATAAGAAGGAACAAAAAACAAAATCAAAATCGGTTATTATCACTCTACATATACAACAACAACACACATTTGAATGTCACCCATTTAATGGTTGGGTCACTTTCATTCTTATCCGTTTCATTTAAAGAGTGATCAAGCTAATTCAGTTAAATCAGTGAAAATATCGAACATAACAATTCGAATGAATTCATGCCAAACGGTGTGATTTTACCTTTTGATAATGTCAGATACACTTTTCTCGTGAATTCAAATTTAAGTAAAAGATATGTAATAAATGCATGTTTTGGATCACACTGCGGAAAAGTTCATTTTACGCACAGAAAGAAAAAATGTGATATTTTTAATTCAATTTTGGTAGATTTAATATAAAATCAACCAACAACGAATTAAATTCACCATTTTTGACATCTCTAAGGCATATTTTTCAAAAGTGA